GGAGAAATGATGGCTGGATAAACCACAGTATGAAACAAAGTAAATTCATAATTCAGTAAAACTAAAGAATATAGAAAGCCTGGTTAATCAGCTAATCCATTTCAACTGCACAATACTGGCTACTTCAAATAAACCAGCAGTCAGATGTATGTGTACGTTCTTAATTGCCAAATTTGAACATGATGATGCAGCAGATGCTACAACCTACGGCACCCGCTTCGGATGTTATCAGTTCATTAAATGGACGTTATCAGCGGTTATCAGTCCTATAGAATGGCTTCAGACTGTCAGCTGGTTAGAGCCATAAAGCCACTAAGGTTATTTATGCAATCTGGTTAGTATGAGGCATAAAGACACTAAGGTTAATTTTAGAGAAAATGACCTGGGCTAGGTTAAACTAGACTGGAGTCCAGCAGACTGGTGCCTTCCAACATATTAGTAGGTAAACAGTCTGAAGCCATTCAGACTGTTTACCTAATACCTAATATTGGTCAACCTTTACTTAAGATCATCAAACAACTCAGAATGCTAAATAACTAAAACAAAGATATGGCAGATAAAGAGATGACATAATACAGTCAAAAATGTAAATGCTCTGTATACAAAGGACAATTTATTATTTATTTTATTCACCGTTATTTAACCAGGCAAATCACATTGAGATCACTGACCTCTTTTGCAAAGGAGGCCTGGGCCTGAAGGCAACCTATTGGACATATTTTTGGGTGCAAACCAGAAAAAACCCACACAAGCACGAGGAGAACATGTAAACTCTGCATAGAAAGACCCCAGGTCTGAACCGGGAACCCAGGACTCAAAAGCCAGGAGAGTTTCTGTGTTTCCTTCTGAATAACTCAACATTCCCACATATGCATTTATTCTCAGCTTGTAGAAGTTAGTGCCGTATTTTAAAGACCAATGTGGCTGTATTTATTTTTATATGTTCATAGGGCATAGATGACCAAATGACCAAATATTCTGAAATAAAAAGAAAAAAGTTTGATCAAAGTGAGCTGCTGCAGGACAGCCTGTCTTTTTACATGCAGCTGCAGCAACAGTTCACAGAAGACAGAAGACACATGATGGAGAAGAGTTTTCTAACTTTATTGATGGGTAAAATTAAAGCAACATGTGGTGAGGTTTGGTAAATAAACTCTTGATATTTAGTTCTATATGCAAGCGATGTGTGAATTTGAGACTAAATACATCTTAAACTTTAAATCAAAGTACACAGAAACYGTGCTTAACAATGCTGCTTGGCCTTATGTTCAGTGCAACAAGCCAAATTGGCCCAAGCTAAAAGAAAACTTGGCCAGTGAGTTCTTTTTTTTTTCTTCCTTAAGAGGAAAAAATCAGCTTGAGCTTCTTATTTCTATTTCCTTCAAACCAGAGTTGCAATAAATCTTTAAAGCAATAGCTAGAAAAGTCACCTAAACTCAATGCATCTGAATGACAGGGACTTTTGTTTCCTCTTATTTTTGCTTATTGATGAGGACTGTGAGATGTGATTGAATGCAGTTTTCTTCTTTATACAGAGCCGTATGTCCTTTATAGTCAGAAAACAAAAACACCAAGCAAAGATTTATACGAGTGTATGGTGACGCTTGGGGTGAAGCCAGGAATATGGTCATGTTTAGAAAAGTAGGAGACACAAACAGAGACATGGATATGCAGCATATGTGGAAATGTTTGTCTAAACAATCAGCAGCTTGTCTCTGATTGGCTGTAACTGCAGCATGGCGGCTCGTTACATGAATTCGTCAGAACTGGATTATAAACAGGCTTTTAAAGGGAAAGATAGGACTGTTTAAGGCAGGGGTGTAAACCTTGCAGGTTTGGGGTCACATAAAACTCTTTGGTCCTTCTGCAGAGGCCCTCATCTCAGAACCCAATATAACAGGGAAATGAATAATATTTATATTCCTAACTTTTATTGAAAACTTGTTTAATCAGCTTTCTTATCCAACATTTTGTGAATACAATTTATTGACAAAGTCTAGCTGAAAATTCAAGGAGAACAAACTGAATGCTGGTAGCCTGTTAGCATGTTAGCCTATTAGCCATTTATCCAGGTTTTTAGATATACAGTGTGCTTGTTCTCAGAAATCCACCAGAACATTTTAAACACATTTGAGGCAAAATGCTAAGGTAAGAAAACAAGGTGCTGTTTCGCACATATACCACAGATTATTATTAAATACTGAACAAAATGTTAAACAAAAAAGGGCCATCTTTTTGAACAAATTAAGTATGCCTGATTAAATAAATGTAAACACATAAATGAAAAAGAATTAAAAGTAAAGGTGTGATTAAAAGAAAACAATCTAAAGTTCACCTAAATTGTTTCTGCATTCATTAGAAGAATGTGTCACATATACTGTAAATATTCAACAAATTGGTTTTATTTTTATAGTAAATATATATAC